AAGGAACCCAAAGGGAATAGAAATAACGGAGGATGAAGAAGAAAACTCCAAAGAAGGAACAATATCCTCAGAGAGATACGCGAAAATATTACAGCTATAAAACAAGAATAGGATGCTTTTTAAAATGAAACAATCAGAGAGAACAAAACTGGCTCTTGGACATTAAAAACGTGATAATTAAAATAATAGCTTTGGTAGAAGAGTTTGTGGTAGACACAATAATAGACCTCCAAAAATGTTCACACTCTAGCCCCCGGAGTATAGGAGCATGATCCCACAGGGCAAAGGGGCTTTGCAGATATGATAAAGGAACTTGAGGTGGGGAGAGTAGGCTGGATTATTTGGGCATGTAATCACCGTGTCCTTGTGAGAGAGGAGGCAGGGAGAGTCAGAGAGAGAGAGAGATTTGAAGAAGTGATGCTGCTGGCTCTGAAGTTGGAGGAACCCTGAGCCAAGAAAAGCAGGCAGGCTCCGGGAGCTGGAAAAGGCCGAGCACCAGATTCTCCCCCAGAGTCTACAGAAGGAATGCAGCCCTGCCTACAGAGCTGGGAGATCCAAAATTTGCGTCCTTGGAAGTCACGGTGCTTGTGGTGATTTGCTATAGCAGTGAGGGGAAACTAACTTCGGAGCAAAAGCCAAAATCAAAGAGATCTCTTCGATGTCAGAACAAAAAGACAAAGAAACAGAAAAATAACAGAACTATAAGGAAGCTGGGGTATCGGGTCAGGAGGTTCAACGTCCAACCAATAGAAGTTGCAGACAAAGAGACATTTTAAACAGAGGTCAGAAAATGATCAGAAAATAATGCAGGAACATTTCCCATAATTGAAAGACATACATTTCCTGAAGGTTGAGTCTACCAAATGCCCAGAAAAATAAAGCAAAAAGATTTTCACCGAGGCAAAGGCTCAAGAAATTCATCTTACTGGGGATTAAAAAAAAAAAAGACTCCAAAAGATTCTAGAAAGAAAATAAAAAGTCTCCTACAAAGGATCAGGAATCAAAATGGCACCACACATAAAAGACAAAGGAGAAATGCCCTCTCAGTTTGTAGAGAATTAGTCATCTATACTCAGCCAAACCTTCAATCAAATGTGACTATACAAAAATACATTTTTACACATTTTGATCTTAAAACATTCATCTCCATGCACCATTTCTCAGGATGCTATTAGAGAATGTGCTTTACCAAATCAAAAAGGTGAACTATGAGGGGCACCTGGCTGGCTCTGTCAGCGGAGCATGTGACTTCTTGATCTCGGGGTCGAGAGTTCGAGACCCACGTTGGGTGTGGGGCTTACTTCAAAAAAAATTAAAATAAAATAAAAACAAAAAAGTAAACTATGAGAGAAAGATATGGAATTCAATCCTGGAGCACAGCACAGGGGATTCCCAAGATGTTTGCCAAGAGAAGTCTCTGGGCAGTACCTGCGCACCAGCATAGAAAGAAGATTCTTCCGGGGCGCCTGCGTGGTTCAGTCAGTTAAGGCTCAGCTCTTGGTTTTGGCTCAGGTCGTGATCTCAGGGTCGTGAGATCCAGCCCCGCGTTGGGCTCTGCACTCAGTGGGGAGTCTGCTTGAGATTCTCTCTCTCCTTCTCCCTCTGCCCCTTCCCCCCAGCTCTCAAATAAATAAATAAATCTTTAAAAAAAAAAAAAAAGAAGAAGAAAGAAATTTCTTTAGACTGTAAGAGAACGACAGAGGTTTCCAGGGGGAAAAGATGGAGCCAACAGAGGATCTGAGAAGGTCGAACATGCAGAATATTGTATTAAGAGGTATTTAATGAAAACGCTGGAAAACTGAACCTATGAAAAAATGAGTTTATTTTTAACTCCAGGAAAAGCAAAACATGGTTCAAAACAGGAAATGTGGGGCTCCTGGGTGGCTTAGTCAGTTAAGCAACTGACTCTTGATCTTAGCTCAGGTCTTGCTCTCAGGGTCGTGAGTTCAAGCCCCACATTGGACTCCACGCTGGGTGTGGAGCCTGCTTAAAAAAAAAAAAGAAGAAATGTTATCATGTGTTATTTGGTCCAGTAATAAACAATATTTACAAAGTCACAGAAACAGATCCACTGAATATTGATTTAAGCAAAATTTATAATATATCTGTAGGAGGATGGGGAGGGGAAAAGAGCTGAAATCCTACCTGCCAAGATAGGAAATCAATATATAACATCTAAAATCAATGAATACCAAAAGAAAAACAAAAAGAGTTGACAGAGCGAGCCTCTAAGGAGTAGGGCTGCTGAGTTTGTAAAAAAACATTTATTATACATCTTTTATTAATATATGATTTAAGTTACTTATGCTGTAATAAAATAGATGAGTTACTTTTTTAAAGATTTTATTTATCTATTTGAAAGAAAAACAGAAAGAGAAAGAGAGAGCATGAGCGAGGGGAAGGGGGCAGAGGGGGAAGGAGAAGTAGACTCTCCACTGAGCAGGGAGCGCAGTGCAGGACTCGATCCCAGGACCCTGAGATCATGACCTGAGCCGAAGGTAGCTGCCTAACTGACTGAACCACCCAGGCGCCCCACCCAGGAGCCCCAGGAGTTACTTTTTAAAATACTATAGACAAGAGGGGGCTACTTGATTAAATGAAGTTCTCTTTTTTTTAAGCTTAGCAACTTTTTTATTTGTATTTTTTAAAGATTTTATTTATTTATTTGAGAGAGAGTAAGAGCAAGAGAGATCACAGAGGGAAAGGGAGAGGGAGAAGCAGACTCGCCAATGAGCAAAGAGCAGATGTGCAGCTTGATCCCAGGACCCTGAGATCATGACCTGAGCTGAAGAAAGATGCTTAACCAACCGAGCCACTCAGGCGCCCCTTAAATGAAGTTCTTAAGAAGATGGAAAGGGTGTTATCCAGGACAGGAAACAGTGAGCGTCCGGGGCAGGCGGTGAAGAGGCGAGCATAGCTGTAGAAACAGTGTTGGGGTTGCAGGTACTGTGGGCTCCAGGGGTGGGCAGCGAAAGAAGGCCGTAGCTGATGAAACAGGATATAAGGTCTCTGGCTGGAAGAAAAGGGAGTATAGGTAGGTGAACAGCACGAGGAGAACACAGAACAAGATGCAAGCAGGGACATTTTGGCTGAGACGTTAAAGTAATAGATATCAGAAACCCCGCTATGGGTTTCTGTTATGTGACACTTACTGGAGAGACCACTCTGCAGAAATTTCAAAGGAGGTGTTTGAGAACTGATTTGATGGCTCTTAACCCTCCCTTCTTACCCTGAGGGTATATAGACTCAGAGAGATGAGAGGCAGAACTTGGAGACAGTTTTTGGACAAAGCTTGTGCTGTGAACCCCACCACCCTTCAGGGGAAGGAGTGGGAAGAGTTTCACCTCAAGAAAAGGAGAAGGCTCCCAAGCCCATGGGGAATGCCTGCTATGTGTCCCTCCAGTTAGAAATCCAAAGGTTAGACATTGGGCCGGACAACTGCCGAGGGATTAGGGAAAGAATTTGCCCTGGCAAAGTACACGCGAGTGTTTCCCGTAGACCGGAGGTGGGTTGTGCCTCAGAAGGAACCGGGGTGGGGCTGGAGCAGATTTAGTCCAATAGATGTCCTGGAGGATTGATGGGTCCTCGTCAGAATGAGTCTAGGCCCCTAGTGGAGATGTGTAGACCGAGGTCAAGGCTACTGCAGGTGGGGGCTCTCCCAAGAACCACTCAGCGCCCACAAGACAGGCAGCTCGGAAGTGTTAGAAGGTACAGAGTGTGAAGCATCTTACCACAGGACCATCAGGGAAGAAAGGTTCTGTTCTCTTTCCTCTCCCATTCCCTCCAGCCCTGGGAGGATCAGAAACCAGTGAGTGAAGGGAAGAAGGAAAAAAGAGCGCGCGTTCCCCGGGTTGCAGGCTCTCTGTCTAAGGTGGGTCCTGGCTGGGATGGCAGGGAGAAGACACGCCTTTGAAAAGACATTGAGGTTTGGGTTACGACTGAGTGTTCTAATTGAAAAGCGAGGCTGTCTTTTGTGATTGAAAGTCACCCTCCAAGTTTTTATGACCCGAAAGTGACCGGAAAACTCAGGACACTGCCCAAGTTTCCATCTGAGACAAGGGAGAGAAACTAGTGCTCTGAGGAGTGGGGATGGAAGCGGGGGTGGGGGGGAGGAGGGCAAAAAAAAAAAAAAAAAAAAGAGAGAGAGAGAAGAAAAGAAAGAAAAAAGGAAGGAGCAGAGCAGGTGAAAGCAAAGTTGCTTTTATGGCTATCCCCATGAGCCACGCTTGTTCACACGAGTGAAAGGCAAGGGACTGCAACATGGTAAAGAATATAGATTTTGGCACCAAAGAGGAATGAGTTTGTAATTTGGCTCTGCCACTTCCTAGCTATGTGACCTTGGGTAAGGGACATGACCTCTCTTAGTCTGTTTTTCCTAGTGTAAGAAGAGTTAGTTAAGCTAATCTCACATAGTTATTTGGAAGTTATAGGAAGATTATATAAGATAACATTTGGGAAAACACTGAAAAATATATTCTCGGGGTGCCTGGGTGGCTCAGTTCAGTGGCTGCCTTCGGCTCAGGTCATGGTCCCCGGGGTCCTGGGATCGAGTCTGGCATCGGGCTCCCTGCTCAGCGGGGAGCCTGCTTCTCCCCCTGCCTTCTACTCCCCCTGCTTGCGCGCGCGCTCTCTCTCTGTCAAATAAATAAATAAAATCTTTAAAAAAACCCTACAAAAACATATTCTCTTCCATTCTCCTCTTCGTTATGGGATGTGGGCCCGGGTATGCCAGGGAAGGCTTTCTAAAGACAGTGACTTTTTGCACTGACTTTTCCAGAGGATGGAAGAGAAGCAGAGAGGCAGAGGGGCATCACGGGATGCTCTAGACAAAGATGAAGGGAGACCAGGATTCGCAGAGAACGGGCAGGACATCTGGTT